AGCCTTGCCAGTTGGGGAGGGCGCCGGTGGCCGCGTTCTTCATGGCACTGCTCGGCCTCCGTGACGCGGCCGCCGGCGGCGTTCTCGGTCTACAGGTGGGAGCGCGCGTTCGCTTCCTCATCCGGGCGTACTCCTTCCTCATCCGGGCGTACTCCTTCCTCATCCGGGCGACCGAGCTCAAGCTCCGGGTGCCCTGGGGCCTCAGCGATGCGGTGCTGGGGTGGGGGCGTCTGGAGTCTGCGGCGACGCGGCGCAGCTGCCTCCCTGCAGCTCGCGGGGCCAGGCGCAGATTTAGAGCTTCTCTTTTATCCGCGCAGGGGGAAACGGGACACACAGAAGGTGCAGCTGTGTCCCAGGGTGGGGAGGGAGCTGGCTCCGTAGGTGTCGTGCACCGCTCTCACCTAGGGAACTTGGGAAAGCCTGGCTAGATGTGGCTCAGTGGGTGACTCCGGACAGTACAAGAGCACCTCTCCCCCGCCATATTTATCCACGAGCCTTCCGCACCGGCTGTTTCCCTGAGTAGCTGAGCCTTTGAGGAACTCACGTGTTTCTGGGTGTCTTTTTAATATTATCACCGCTTACCGCGTTCTGTTCAAAAGCTAGGCGATTTTCATATTGCAAAAGGTGTGTTACTGCTTAGCGCGGTGGACTTCTGGTGGGAAGAGGAACTGCTTGGTGGTTTTCTGGTGGGTACTGTCTGGTCCCTGGATGTCTGCAGAGATGCAGCAGTCAGTATTCTGTTGGGTTTCTGACAGCGCCACTGTGCGTAGCCGGAATTTCCACACACACCTGCAAGTTAAGTGGGAAGTAAGGGTAGAGAGTTATATGTGTTGGATTTTTCTAGAACGGTTGTTGAAGGCACGAGCGTTCTGGTGGCAGGGACCCTTCATAGCTCTGTCTCCCTGGAGACCAGCTCCCCTGTGATATTGCCAAGATTTGAATGAAATGTTGGTTTCTTCCCTAGGGTGTTTGTCCACTGGAAACTACACCTGCGGGGAATGCTGGCGTCTTGGGTAAGTTGACGCTTTGGTACAAAAACAGGTTCGCTCACTGCTCAATACAACCATCCCCTTCTCCGTGACATTCTAAGTGACTGGGGACTGATTGGCTCTGCCTTAACAGGGTAATGAGAAGTTCCCTCTACAGGGGAATAAAAATGTAAATTATTCCATCTTCAACAGCAGCTTCCCCTAGAGGTGTTGCAGGTGTGGCTGCTGTGCCACATTTGTGTCATTAGGGGGCAGAGAGAAAGAGGCTATGTCTACGCTCGGTGTTCTACCCTGTGAACACTCGAATGATTATTAGTCTGACACGTGGGCAGTGCCCTAGCGCAGGGGTTTGTGCTGCTCCCCTAGCTCTGGTTCTGTGGCCTTCCAGTGTGTCTGTGCTCACCAGTAGCTCTGTGAAAAGTGTAGTGTGGTGGGTGCAGAAATCTGGAGTGGGCCTCCTGACAGGCATGGTGACCATCCCAGTTTATCCAGCACCTCTCAGTCCTCACTTTCTAACCCTCACTTCTGACCATTTGATGTCTGAAAGGTGGCAGTGGGGAGGTAGAGGATGCCCTTAGCGGCAGCAACTTTGGTTGATTTTAGTTTTAAAAACTAGCAATTTGCTGGCTGATTCCTACTGACACCTTGTTGAAGGGGTGATGTTTCAGAATCACCTTGGAACATCCGGCACTAGGGGAGGTTTGCTAGTGCTTGGTTCAATTAGTGACAGCCAGCTTGTTGCGCTCTCACATCTGGCCAAGTGTTCTCATTATTTAATACAGGTGGGACAGTGACTCTTAATCTCTTGAGGATCAGCGTACGGTGTGAGCATTGGCTAGAGCAACGGGGCCAGCATGTCCTCAGCCAGACGGAGGTGGAGGTAAGCAGACAGACAAGGCCTCAGCCATCTGACGTACCTGCCACTCGGGCTGCCCTGCAGACACTGTACTGGACCTGCCAGCACCACAGGTGTGGCTGTGCTGCTGTGCCTGTAACATCAGGGCAAAGAGAAAGTGGCTATTTCTACGCTCAGTGTTCAGAAACCAGTGAGCACTAAGAATGGTTTATAGCCTGACATTTCTTACTCACAGTGAGGTAGCATTTAGTTTTGCTTTGGGACATGACCTCACCTGTTCGCTCCGTGGTGGTGTGTGTAGTGGTTATAGTGTACTTTTAGATGTTTTTGGGAACAGCAGCCACATTTGCAATGCCTCTGGGGCAGTTGTTGTTGCCTCTTCCAGGGTTCATGGCAGTGTCTTCATAAAATTTGGGAAATGGGAGTTGCTGCTGGCATCTCATGGGCAGAGGCCAAGGACAGTGAAGTGTCATGCTATGCATAGCTGGCAGCACAGCAAGGAATTATGAGGCCCTGATGCCAACAGTGTGTCTGTCAAGACCTTATGGGATCAAATCTGAAGGGGGAAAATGTAACAATTCACAGATTGGATTTTCTGGAGGTGGTTCAGTGACTCCAGGTTAGAGAAAGAAGCATGGTCTGCTTCATCACCCTTGTTTATTTTTCAGATCTAGAAGTCGAAAAGGATGTCAAAGTGGAGGTACAGCTAAGACTCGCCCTTCTGGACACGGGCACCACAAGTGTTGCAATCCGGCAGGCTGTCCCTGGAGGTCTGCCTGTGTGCTTTCCTTTTATTCCAAGGATGGGCAGGCCAACACTGGTGTGCCCACTGCCTGTGACCTCAGCCTTTCCTTTCCACTTTGTGGGGTCTGTGTCCCAGCTTTCCCGCTGGACCACAGCTCCTGGCGCACCTGCCGGGACCACTCCACACATTACCTTGATCATCTCTTCTGAAGTCTCACCTCAGTTACTTGAGGCCAGGAGTTTGGGACCAGCCTGAGCAACGTAATGAGACCTTGTCTTTCCAGAAAGTTTAATATTAGTTAGATAATAGTAGCTTATGCCTATAGTCCACCTCCTTGGGAAGCTGAAGCAAGAGGATCACTTGAGCCCTAGGGTTATGGCGAGCTGTGATGATGCCACTGTACCCTACCCTGGGTAACAACAACAAAAAGGAGGCTCGGCGCCTATAGCTCAACTGGCTAAGGTGCCAGCCACGTACACCTAAGGTGGCGAGTTCGAATCCCCAGCCCGGACCCACCAAACAATGACGGCTTTAACCAAAAAATAGCCGGGCGTTGTGGCTGGCACCTGTGGTCCCAGCTACTTGGGAGGCGGAGGCA